AACAAAGAAGCAACCCACAGAATTGGAGAAGATTTTTGCAAATGACACTACAGACAAAGGGCTGATATCCAAAATCTATAAAGAACTTCTCAAACTCAACACCCAAAAAACAAATAATCAAGTCAGAAAATGGGCAGAAGACATGAAAAGACACTTCTCAAAAGAAGACATACAAATGGCTAACAGATGCATGAAAAGATGTTCATCATCATTAGCCATCAGGGAAATTCAAATCAAAACCACATTGAGATGCCACCTTACACCAGTTAGAATGGCAAAAATTGACAAGGGAAGAAACAACAAATGTTGGAGAGGTTGTGGAGAAAGGGGAACCCTCTTACACTGCTGGTGGGAATGCAAGTTGGTATAGTCACTTTGGAAAACAGTGTGGAGGTTCCTCAAAAAATTAAAAATAGAGCTACCCGATGACCCAGCAATTGCACTCCTGGGTATTTACCCCAAAGACACAGATGCAGTGAAAAGAAGGGCCATATGCACCCCAATGTTCATAGCAGCAATGTCCGCAATAGCCAAACTGTGGGACGAGCCGAGATGCCCTTCAACAGATGAATGGATAAAGAAGATGTGGTCCATATATACAATGGAATACTACTCAGCCATCAGAAAGGATGAATACCCAACTTTTACATCAACATGGATGGGACTGGAGGAGATTATGCTAAGTGAAATAAGTCAAGCAGAGAAAGTCAATTATCAAATGGTTTCACTTATTTGTGGAACATAAGGAATAGCATGGAGGACATTAGGAAAAGGAAGGGGAAAATGAAGGGGGGGAAATTGGAGGGGGAGACAAATCATGAGAGACTAAGGACTCCGGGAAACAAACTGAGGGTTTTAGAGGGGATTGGGGGCTGGGGGGAATGGGTTAGCCCGGTGATGGGTATTAAGGAGGGCGCGTATTGCATGGAGCACTGGATATTATGTGCAAATAATGAATCATGGAACACTACATCAAAAACTAATGATGTACTGTATGGTGACTAACAATAAAAATAAATAAATAAATAAGTGGAAAAAAAAGGAAAAAGGCAAGCATGTCCTCTCTGATCACTCCTTTTCAATATCATACTGGAAGTCCTAGCTAATACAATAAGAGAAGAAAATGAAACAAAAGGTATACACTTCAGGAAGGAGGAAATTTTTATTTGCAGATGACACGATTTTTTGTCCAGAAAATTCCAAAGTCAACAATGACAACAACAAAACCTCCTGGAACTAATAAGCAATAGCAGCAAGGTTGCAGGATACAAGGTTAAAATACCAAAGTCAATCACTTTCATATATACCAGCAGTGAACACGTGGAATTTGAAATTAAAAACAGGGGCGCCTCGGTGGCTCCGTCGGTTAAGTGTCTGCCTTCAGCTCAGGTCATGATCCCATGGTCCTGGGATCGAGCGCCACATCGGGCTCTCTGCTCTGTGAGGAGTCTGCTTCTCTCTCTCCCTCTGGCCCTCCCCCCTTGCTCATGCTCCCTCTCTCTCAAATGAATAAATAAAAAGTCTTAAAAAAAAAAACTTTTGAAATCAAAAACAATACTATATGCATTAGCACCAAAAAAATGAGTATTTAGGTATAATCTAAAAAATATGTACAAGCTATATATTAAAAAAAACTATAAAACTCTGTTGAAACAAAGAAGAACTAATTAAATGGAGAGGTATCCCATGCTCAGAGATTCAATATTGTCAAGTTATCAGTTCTCCCCTAATTGATCTATAGATTCAATGCAACCCATATCAAAATCCTAGCAAGTTATTTTGTGGATATCAATAAACTGATTCTAAAGTTTATATGGAGAGGTAAAAGACCCAGAATAATGAACACAATTTTGAAGGAGAAAAGTAAAGTCAGAGGACTGACACTCTCTGACTTAAAGAATTACTATAAAGCTACAGTAATCAAGACAGGGTGACACTGTGAAAGAATAAACAAAAAGATCAATAGAACAGAGTAGAGTGCCCAGAAATAGACCTCCATCAATAGAGTCGATCAATCTTTGACAAAGGAGCGAAGGCAATACAATGTGAGCAAAGATAGCCTCAATAAATGGTGCTGGAACAACTGGACATCCACATGCCAAAAAAAAAAAAAAAAAAAAATGAATCTAGACACAGACTTTTCATCCTTCACAAAAGTTAACTGAAAATGGAGTATAGATCTAACTGTAAAGTGCAACACTATAAAACTCCTGGAAGACAACATAGGAGAAAATCTAGATGACCCTGGATGTGGCAATGACTTTTTAGATACAACACCAAGGGCGTAATCCATGACGGAAGGAAGTGATAAGCTGGACTTGCTTATCAATTTTTTAACTTTTGTTCTGTGAAAGACACTGTCAATAGAATGAGAAGATAAGCCACAGACTAGGAGAAAATATTTGCAAAAGATACATCTGATAAAGTCCTGTTATCTAAAATACACAAAGAACCATTAAAACTCAATAATAAAAAAATGAAAAATCCAACTTAAAAATGGGCAAAAGACCTGAACAGACACCATGAAAAGATATATCGATGGCAAATAAGCATATGAAAAGATGCTCCACATTGAATGTCACTGGAGAACTGCAAATTACAACAACAATGAGATACTACTCCATACCTATTAGAGTAGCCAAAATCCAACACAGTGACAACACCAAATGCTGACAAGAATGTGGAGCAATAGGAACTCATTCATTACTGGTGGGAAAGCAAAATGATACAGCCACTTTGAAAAACTGTGGGGCAGTTTCTTACAAAAACAAACATACTCTTACCATCCAATCCAGCACTTGCACTCTTTGATATCTATTCAAAGGAGTTTAAAACTCATATCCACACAAAAACCTTCACACAGATGTTTGTAGCATCTTTATTCATAATTGTAAAACCTAGAAGTAACTAAGATGTCTTTCAGTGGGCAAACTGTGGTACATTCTAGACAATGTATTATTCAGCACTAAAAATAAATGAGCTATTAAGCCATGAAAAGACTTGGAGAAACATTAATTGCATAATAGTATTAAGTGAAAGAGGTCAATTTGGAAAAGTTACATATTGCAAGATTCCAATTACATAACATTCTGGGAAAGGCAAAACTATGGAGATGGTAAAAAGATCACTGGTTGCCAGGGGTGAGAGAAGAGGGAGGGATAAACAGAGAGAACACTGAGGAATTTCAGGGCTATGAAACTACTCTGCGAGATTATAGTGGTGGATACATGTCATTGTACATCTGTCAAAACCTACCCATGTACAACAAACACCAAGAGGAAATCCTAATGCAAATGATGGACTTCAGGTGACAATGATGGGTTGACGTAGGTTCATCAGTTACGACAAACGCACCGCCCTAGTGGGGATGTTGCTAGTGGGGGTGGCTATGCATGTGTGAGGGTCAGGGAGCATGTGGGAAATCTCTGCACTTTCCTCTCCATTCCTCTGTAAACCCAGAACTGCTCTAAAAATAAAGTCTATTTTTTTTTTTAAGTTAAAAAAATGGGAATGACAAAACCAAAACTCAGGAGAGGGTGATAGAAGGTGATGGGTTGCCGATATAAACAAAGGGCTTCTAGGATTCTGGTTAATTCTTAAGCTGAATGACAGATCCCCAAATGGATCATTGATGACTTTTCTGAGTCACTGGATTTACTCCCCCTGGTGCTGACCTTAGAAGATAACAGCTTTTCCGTATTGTCTGAACTCCATTTTAAGTGGTGCTTTCTGTTATTCATAGTTAAAATCACTCAAACTGATAGTCTCTTAATTTGGATGCAGTACAACTGGGATCTGATTTAGCATGTCATCATTTCCTCCTATTCTGTTTGTCTAAACATATCATTAAAACCTTGTCTTAGTTACCCCCCAACTATAAAAAAGACTTGTTTGGGGAAAAAAGAGACTGTAATTAAAACAACTCAGTATTTTTCCAATCCTAAAAGGTATCTTCCTTGAAAACATTCTGATTAAGCATGTGTGATACCAAGGACAACCAAGACTTTTTAAAAAATCTATAAATCACCAAACAGATAAGGAGTCAGGCTTGTACTCTTGCCCTCCATAGGGAACAGCTTAATCTGGCCGGAAGATCACACATTTCCCATTGGAGTTACAGGCTGGAGGTCAGACCACAGGCTGAATTCAGCTACCACAGGAGTTCTTAAAAGGAGAGCAAACAAGAAAACGAGGAGATTTTTGTTCAGAAAGGGGCATGGTCTCTGCTGTTTTGGCCAGAGAAATAAAGAGCAGTGGTTTCTCCACAGACAAGTCCTATACTGGAGACTATGTCCTGCTTAGGAGAGGACTTCCATCCCACCTACTTGCAGATATAAAGAAATGCGCAGACCAGAAAGGAAGTGGGGCAACAGAGGGACTTACACAGGCACACACCATTTATTCTCTCTCCCAGACAGTATGAACCAAGCCCTTCACCTGCATGCTTCCATTTAATCCTCAAGACAACCCTGCAGAAGCAAGTCTGCTCATCTCACAGGACGAAGATGCAGAGAGGTTGAGTAAGCTGCCAAAGGCCACCCGCCAGGGGTTGGTGGAGCTGAGAGTCAAACCCATGTCTGTCCCACTCTAAAGCTCGTATTCTTCTCCTTATTATCATAGACAAGAACCACAAAGAATACCACAGAACAACTCAGTCTTGGGCTTCAAAGGCTGCCCCCCGCCCACGTCTCTTGCCCTCTCCTGTCAAGTGTAGTGCTGGCCATACCATAAAGATGCAGGCCCTGCTAAGCTCAGCAGGCTTCCATTATGAAAAGGGATTCCTACATCCTCACTTCCCAGACCACAAAGTCTGGCCCTCACAGCCACCACCCACCTCACACATGCATCATCTCGGCCACCACAGGAACAAGGTTGGAAAAAAATCAAAAACCAAAGGGGGGGTTTGCTCAAGGCAACTACACCCTGTCTGCCCCAGTCCAGCCTCAGTCTGAAGCTACCTCCTGATGCTTGTTCTATTGACAGTAATTGCCACAAATTACCTAAGGTCCAACAAGAGACAGCCCTCAGGAGGGAGGCACTGCCGTAGATAGCGTGCATGTACATGAGGTGAACCATCAGCTCAGCCAGCCACCAATAGCAGAGGAGGCGACCCAGCCCCACGGCAAAGGCAGAAAGGTTGGACTTCAGCGAGCAGTCCTCTTGCCGCTGCATCTAAAGTAGAAACAAAAGAAGCCATTAGATTGTGCCTTCGTTTTTTAAATCTTCCAAAGAGCCCCCTATACAGTATTGCTAGTAAACTTCTCACAAACGTTATTACTCTATCTACCCAAAGAGGGTTGGGTTAGTTATTCATTATTCTCGGGTGAAAAAGTCACGCCCGAGCTCGGGTGGGGTCAACGAGCTAGCCTCGTGCCAAGAACCAAGATGGGTTCTGCATCCCTTCACCCCAGCAACAGCCCTGCAAACAGCCGGGGTGGAGGGCAGTGCCTGATGTATTCTCCCTCAGGACTTTGGGGTCTCTTTGGACTCAGGTGTCACCCTGCCTGTCTTCATCCATCACCCACCCACATGGAAGGCTGGTAAAAGTAGGGCCAAGTCAGGAAGGGGCAGAGAACTGGTAAGAGAAAGGGAGAATGAGAGAGCCTGAGGATAAGGGAAAAATTCGATGTGGGTGTGTCATCTTACCTGAAGTTGTTTTTGAAACAAGGCAGAATAAACACAAACAGAGACAGTATGTGGGGACAAGTCTCCTGCTCAGCAGACACTGCGGTGTGACAGTTAGGAACACGGACTTTGCAGTCAGAATCGGGATCAGATCCTAGCACAAACCACACAGCTGTGTGATCCTGAGCAGGTTACTTAATATTTCTGAGGTTCCCTCATACGTAAAGTGGAGGAAAAAAATGGTCATGACTAAATATGATAACATATATGAAGTACTAAGCACAGCACCCAGCATATAAAAAGCACTGGCTAATTGGTAGTTAATATCTGGTAGGTTACATGTCTCCTACTGCGCCTTCTTCACATTCTTCCCTCATGGCATCCCAGGCTACCAGCTATGGGGCAGAATTAGGACACAGGTCAGAACCAAACACCAAAGGTGAGAGAAGGACGTTTGGATTATTCATGGACACAGACAGACTACTGAGAGTTCACTCAACATGTATGGACAGCACAGAACCAATTTGATCACAGTAGCTGGATTCTGGGTCTTGCCTCATTGCCCGCTGTTTAGGGATGCAAAATAGTTTAAAACACATAGATGCTGAAATGCATAAGCACATTATAAAATGTGTGTGAATTCAATTTCATCTGTACACCACTAGACAAACACACAAACACAGGAGAGAGCACGAGAGTGTTCTGGGTCCCACTCTGACAAGATTTTATTAGACCGAAGCCCGCCTTGTAATGCAGAGGTGAAGCTAATGCATAAATGATGACGTTGAATCCGCAAATATTCGCTGGCAGAAGAAATGGACTTGATTTAGCTTTTGACGGTCTGGGCTCCGGACACTACCCGAAGAGGAAGGGCCCATTCCTAGGGCCTCTTGGGCTTCCATGGCCTTGAACGTCAAAGGCACAGGGGGTCCTGCTGCAGCCAGGAGCGATAGGCACTACTCTCAGAGAGGACGGGAGAGCTGCATGCCAGGGGAGTTACTTTTATTCCATTTTGACCATACATTCTACCACTTTCTCAAACTGTCCTCTCAGTGCAAGACGCCAGCTTCAGAAATTCTGGCTGGCTCAGCGGCATCATGATAACCTGCACAAAGGGCTTTGCTCCCTTTTGCCATCTGCGTGGGTAGCTACACCAAGGAAAGCTCGTTGGCTTAATATTTTTTCATGTAAATTGATTAAACTAACAGGAATTTCCTTTCTCCATTCACTTTCCGCAGTCGGCCTTAGGAAGGTATTTTGCCCAGCCATACCAACCTGCCTTGTTAGAAGCAACAGTCACTGCGGGGAGGGATCCACCAGGTCACCTGGGAAGGGTTTTCCCGGAAGGAAGACTGGGCATATCAGGGCTTTGCAGACCCACACAGATCACAGCCAACTGCAATCGCAGCTGAACTACTTGACCCAATGCACATCCCTTTCCAGGCATAAACTGAGGGTGGTTTTCATTTGAATGCATACCTTAAGTGTGCCTGCTCTTCGAGAGTACAGAATCTACAGCAGTGGATCTGTAGGCCAATGGATGGGTAAAGCCTCAATGCAGAGATGCCTACCTGCCCAATCATTCACGTCTGTTACTGAATTGAGAAGAAAAGGAAATAACCCAAATGTCCAGCTGTGGGAGGCTGGTCAAATGCATGAGTGCATGTCAATATTATGCAGCCATGAAAACTACTTTTTTCAATGTGTATAAATAACGAAAGACTGGAAAGATACACACCAAAATGGCAACAGTGATTGTATTCTTTTTGGTAAGATTTTTAGATTGCTTTTGACCATTGGTTATTTTTATAATAAGGGGAAAGTAATGGAACTTCACGATATTGTGAAGAGCTGGGTCCTCTCTGTGGATGAGGCAAGGTCTTCTACTTCTTCACACTTCTAAAAAATATCTAGCTTCAGGATCTCTCCTGCGCAGCCCGGCATCCTCTGCGGGTAAATATTCTGCTCGCTCTCCTACAATGGACCCATCTTTATTTCTCAACTTCCCACCTCAGTGGTTGATTTTCTTACCTGTATACTGAGGTCCTCTTTGTTCATTCTTTTCCAGTTCTCTAAAGCAAATTCACTTTGACCTCAATGCCATCAGCATATGAGGGAACAATTACGAACATAGTGTCCATTGGCCTGTGGAGACCGGAGGAGTTCACACCAAGGCCGTCAGCTAAGCTGAGACATGAAGAGGCACCCAAACCATTCCAGACCACAGGTGGGCCTTTCTCGGTGCCACACTCTTGGAGGGAAGCAAGTCCCCAGCTGAATGTGATAATGGTCTCACAAGCAGTGTGGACAGAACACAATCTTCATACAACAGAATGTCTCCAGTTGCTAAATAAGCAACTCTGCACGTGGCCTGTAGACCCCTGAGCGTAAGCCCACCCCAAGCTCTGGTCTCCTGAAGACCAGACCTGTACTGAGGCCACAGAGCATCCCTGGGGATGCAGCCCCAGCCCTGGGAGCAGAAAAGCAGCTGGGTGGGAGGGGAGCCCCACCAGGCAATCAGGAAAACATGTCTACCCAATCACCTCTTAGCTCCGGGCAATTGCCATTCAAGTTCAGTTCAGAGGCCTGCCTTCGTCTCCCCAAACAATGTGCAGTCTAAAATGACACAAATATCTGTAATTAAGGAGAAACATGAGGTGCCTTTTGTGGCTGATTGGCTCCCCAGTAATGGCTTATCTACTCTCCCCAGGGCAAAACTTCTCTACCTGGTTTAATAACGTATAATTATGTGTCACCACTGGACCAGAAGCACTGGACTTTTCTCTGCAATGCCCTCTTTTTGATGCTGGATGCCACCTCATTCAGAGTAACAGAATTGTCTTCCTTAATCATACAAGTGAATACAGGAGAAGGAAAACAATCCAGTTTCTTTTTATTCTATTTGCTTGTACTTAAAAAAATGGTTATTCATCTTTCTTTAGAGTCATATGATTACAGTTCATTTATACCTTCAATCTAGTTGACTCGCTTTTATTTAAAAAATTCAGCATTTGTCCCTTGTCGATCCAGCAGGAATAAAAGATATGCCATACACAGCTCACCTAATGAGCAGGGTTGTTCTGTTGTCTGCATGCAAGCATTTCATTTGAGATATCTCAAACCTCGGGGAGTGCCAACCTTCAGACCACTAGAAACTGCCATCAAGGGGAATTTTTAGTTAAGGCTCCACTAAAAGATACACATTAACTCATCTGCAAAGTGCATTTTAAAACACATTATATTTCAAAACCTCATTTCATGCAAATTGCATAAAAAGGAATATCGAAGCCTTTCAAAGATAGTCTGATGATTAAAGATGACAGTTCTCAAAGATGAAAGGTTCTTCCCCTCCACACACTAATCATACGGATGTTTAAGAGCACCAAACAAAAGGCTTCCCTGGAGCCAGGGTTCGACTGTGCTGACTCTGCTCCCGCCTCTACACGTGGGTCAAGGGCACTGTAGCCAGGAGTCTTATCCTTTGTGGTGGAGGAGAATCTCTGCAACCCATGGTCACAGGCCCTACCTACTCCCAACAAAGCCTTCTGTACTAGCACCCCCCTCCCCCCCAGGCATCCAGACCACGGCCGGTGGGAGTCGCCCCAGCTCTGCCACGACAGCAGGTGGCACCCAGCTGGTGCAGCTGCTGCAGGCCTGGGACCTGCTCCAGCCAGCTTGAGCCTCCAGACCTAGATGTCCACCAGGCCACACTGCATCTCTAACTCCCATTGGGCAGCCAGCCCCACATCTGTATTCCTTCCACCCTGATGTGCATTCGATGAGCCTCTCTTTGCCTCTGTGTTACCATCTGTAAAGTGGTGGTAACAAGAGTATCTCTCTTCTCCAGTGGCTGTGAGGATGAAGGAGTTAGCACATGTCAAGTCTGGCTCGGAGCAGGTGCTCGGTCGGAGTTACGTATTACAGTCTGTATTATTCCAGGTGGTCTCTAGAGCCAGAGCCCGCCCCAAACCCAGATGGGCACAGCTGGAACACTGTCTGCCTGCCCAGCTCTTGCCCACCCTGGCACCTGCAGCAACCGCCTGTGTCTCTCTCCTGAAGAGACAGAATCAACACACCGGTCCCTTCTGAGGCCAAGAATGGCCACCGCCCAGGATCCCCTGCTTCTGTGCCCACCTATGTGATGGGACACCCCGGGTCTTGGTTCTGGCCTAAACCTATGTTAGTTCCCAACCTCGGGAGCTTCCGGGGGTAAAATCTGAAACGGGCCCCTCTGCGTGAAGGGCAGGGAGAGAACAAAGAGGCAGAGCACTCCCGATTGGTAGGTGGCAGGTGTGATGAGCAGGGGAACTTACATACAAGGCTGGTCTCGAGGTGCTTCAAGATCCCCACCCCCGCCTACCAAATCTTAAAAGTTTACGTAGAGGCCTTAAGTGGGTCCGGTCACATATTCAGTCCAGAGGGTCCCAATGACACTTTACTCTCTCAAGGCTGTGCCCTTGAAGTAGCTCGTGGTGAGGAACGGCAGGCGGAATGCACATTCTAAGGACAGGGGAAGGCGTGAGGAGCCTCCGATTGCCTGGGCTCAGCTGTGGATCAACCAGCAGTCACAGCCTCCCCACGACCTCCTCCAACAACTTCCCCCGGAATTGCCACCTGCTTCCGGCAAACAACAACAACTGTAATGTTAACGCTTCACAGCATTTACATGTGAAGCCATGTTACCTATATGAAATCAGTTAATCCTTACAACAGTCCTAAGAGGGAGGTACTATTATCCTTCCCATTTCACTGATAAGGGAACAGGAGTCACAAATAAGGTACGTAATTCACCAAATGCTCTCAAGCCAGAGCGAAGCAGGAATTCAAACCGTGTGACAATGACAATAGGGTTGGGCTCCAGGGTCTGCGCTCTTAGCCACCATGCAAGCTAACTGTTTGAGCACTGGCTCATCCACTGGGGGTAGGAGCATAGCCCTCAGTAAGGAAAAGCCCCCTGGTCCTACCACACTCTGCTCACCAGAGTCTTCTCCCACACCAGACCCCACTGCACAATTCAACCTGCTCAGAGTAAGATGTGGTGGCCCCAGGCTCCAAGCTAAGTGAATAAATAAGCCTCATGTGTAAGTGTCTCTGCTGATTAAACCTGCCCCCCCCCCCAGCCACCCCATCCTCTGGCATCACCCCTAGCTCAGTATCTGAGTTCCACAGACCACAGGAGAAAAATAAATGGGGCACATGTTCCTGAAACTCCAAATGCCATCTCAGATGGCCTTCAAGTTAAGGCACTGTGGCCTTTTAACAGGCAAATTTTTACCTGCTCATGATCAGTGTGCAAATTTCACATGCCTTACTTCACACCTCTTCTATGCTTCCCTCATCTTGTGTATGCAATTTACATACTAAAAAAAATTGGGTGAAAGATAACATTCTCCCCAAGGTAACCCTAATACCGTCATTTTATCAACCAGAGTCTGCCCTTCTGGTTGGTTTCCACAGTGGGGCTCTGCTGCCCCCTGGTGGCAGAGCCTCATTCTCTGGTTCTCATTGATGGGACAACCTAAGAACCATGAATTTCAGGATTACCATTTCATGTTATATTTATTCATTCACTCACACACCATTTCATGTTATATTTATTCATTCACTCACACACTCGTTCAGAGCAAACATTGCTTATAAGTTCTTCCAGTTGGCTTTCTTCCCTCTCCTAGCAACCTCTTCCTTCATGGCCTCCCTGAAGAAATTCTTTCACTCCTGGCTTAGCTTCCTAGCTAACTGCTCCCCTTTAAGACCCATTTTTCTCAAAGGGGGTCAGTGCCCCATAAGACTTTCTGTAACTGCAGAAACCTCATGGCTGCCTTTATCTGCACAGCAGCTTACTAAACATTTTGCCTTTTCTAGACTGACTTTCCTATGAATCTTCCCAGACCACAAAGAAAGGTTCCAATTTGCCTTCTGAGTTCTCGGCTTTTAGCAAGTGCTCCCATTTTGAAAGGAGTGAAAAAGAGAGGGGTAAGACAGAGATGCAACCAGAGTCTCCATACCTGAGTTCCCACAGGAAGAAGCCTGGTCATCCCCAGCCTCCAGCCCCCAAAGAACTGCCAAAGAACTCAGGACAGTAGTTATCAACCTCTAGCAGGCAGCAGAATCACCTGGAAGGCCTATTAAATCACATTGCTGGGCCCCACCCCAAAGTGTCTGAATCAGATCTGAGGTGGGGCCCAAGAATTTGCGTTTCTAACAAGTTCCCAGTTGATCCTTCTGTTGCTGGTCCAAAGACCACACTTTGAGAACCGCTGAGTTAGAAATCAGCTGCCATCACTAACCACCTGTCTTTCTACACAATAATCTTACACATAATTTTCAAACATGAACTTCAAATTGCTCAGGACAGAAGAATGGTCCCATGTAACCTAAACTGAGGTATGAGAAACCATATGCTAAACACATATCTGCCCAGAATATCAATTTCACTTGAAGATTTATGGAGGAAAAAAAAGTTAAATAATTTAATTGGCAATTTTAAAACTGCACATTGTTGTTATGTGTATAATGAAATATACAAGTGTATGTGTATACACATTAACATAATGTATAGATAAATATACAATATAAACGTGTATAATGAAATACACTTTTGAGAACAATGAATAACTGTGTGGGATTTTTAAGACAGAATATGAGATTTCTAAGAACCCTGCTACTTTTCCAGGGGGCACCTTCCATATTGCCCTTTGAAAATATGCAGCGCTGCTCCTGGTGCTACACTTTGAACTCATTCCAGGAGCGTGTGTGTGTATGTGTGTGCAGAGAGGTGTTGTTATTCCCCACCTCCACCGAGACTGTTGTATTTTGGTGGTAGGCGGTAGAACTGTCCCTCGAGAAACACAGGTTTTAGGTATTATCGATGACCAAAACTTGATTGACTTCCCAAACATGTTCCGTGAGGCTGGCTGTGGGATGAGAGCAAAAATCCTAAGTAGGAGGGGAAGGGAGTGGGAATGACGAAGGCAGCTTGACAGGAGCTTCAGACAAGGCTGAAGGGAAGCCGGGTCCAGGGCAGAAACAGGCACTTGGACCCCAAAACACACCACTACCATCCAACTCTCTCTAACTCTGCTCTGTTGTCTCATCTAGGTCACCCTGAACAATTCTCAGGTGATGACAGAGTTATTTCATAAGCAGTTTGTGACAATAAAAGACAACATGGTATTTGCCAACCAACAGCTTAGACAGTTTCCCTTTCTACTTTTCCAAGTAATACCATCACAATCCAATTTTTTCTTTCCCTGACTTCTCGGCAGTGGATACCCATCCCTAAATTCCTTGCTGTGCCCAGTTACTCATCCTGGTTTCCAGAGCCCACCAAGGAGTCGGGGGGGAGGGGCGGTTCCTTGAGCCAACAGGCACAAGAGACAGGTCGACCTTCATTTCAAATACTTATTCCCCCTAAGTATTTCATTTCTGATGCAAGAAGTTACAACAATCACGTGTTTTCAATCTGCGGGAACCCCTGAATGCAAAGCCTCAGGAGTCTGGTGGATGGCCACAGCCAGTAAGGACAGAGGTTTAATCTACAGAATACCAGTCCAGTCCCCAGTGGGCTCTACCTTTGCGATGAACTCCGGGAAGCTCAGGATGGGCCCATTGTGGAAGACAGGGTAATAGAAGACATAGGCCACCAGCCAGGGAAAGGAGTAGAAGCTGCTCCTGGTGGGCATCTCCTGCCAGCAGAACTCCAGGCTGAAGCTGGTGTAGGATAGGCAGCGCACAGTCAGCGTGAACTGCAGCAAGTAGTACTCGTTTTCTGTCTGGTACCAGCCTCTCTGCAAAGTCCCAAAAAGAGAACAGCCCTTGAGCGTCAAGGAGAACACCATCCAGGACCCTGGGAAGGAGACTGCTTCCGCAGGTAGAGTGACTGTCCCATAAAGGGAACTGAGAACCAAGGAGCAGCGGGTAAGTCTCCCTGGTGATCAAACAAGTGGTTAATGAGCAGTGGGTGGTGGAGTGTCTCTAACACCACCCATCCACGAAGCATGAGGCCTGATGCGCTATAATGAAAGTTCTCCTGGCAATGCATCTCTCAGATTCATCCAGACATGGATGTGCACTTTTTGGTGTGCACTTAAAAATATGGCTTCCAGGGGGCGCCTGGGTGGCTCAGTCGTTAAGCATCTGCCTTCGGCTCAGGTCTTAGTCCCAGGGTCCTGGGATCAAGCCCCACATCGGGCTCCCTGCTCGGCGGGAAGCCTGCTTCTCCCTCTCCCACTCCCCCTGCTTGTGTTCCCTCTCTCGCTGTGTCTCTGTCAAATAAATAAAGTCTTTAAAATATATATATATATGGCTTCCAGGAATACACCAGTGGGTACTCTGATAGTTCCCCCAACAATTCGGAAGGCAAAAGAGAGGCTTATAAATGTCACACGGGGGGCGCCTGGGTGGCTCAGTTGGTTGAGCGACTGCCTTCGGCTCGGGTCATGATCCTGGAGTCCCGGGATCGAGTCCCACATCGGGCTCCCTGCTCGGCGAGGAGTCTGCTTTTCCCTCTGACCTTCCCCCATCTCATGCTCTCTCTCTCTCTCTCTCTCTAATAAATAAATAAATAAATCTTTAAAAAAAAAAATAAATGTCACACAAGACTCCTGACTTCAATGTATTGTTCCTTTTGCTCTTCTGTTATTCATTTGGCTCCACTGTAGTTGAGGACTATTTGCCAAAGAAGCTTTAGAAACACAGTCAAGAAAAATAGTCCCTGCCCTCGATGTATCTGAATTCTGTACAGGAAATAGGTATGGAAGTATACAAATACAATGCAACATGAAAAAAGAAATAATACACATGTACTAAAAATCTTAACAGTACAAGGGGGGGTAAAATTATGGGTCATTCTATAATCTTTATTCTTCTATACTGTCCATAACACATATGTATTGCTTTTTTAAGGAGAAGAACAATTTATGGGAAATCAAGATAGAAAATTGGGACAAAGGAAGGAACAGTGAATGTGATACATGGGGGTACTTTTAGGGCTTTCCACAGAAAAACTGAGCACCAAAGAGTTTCTGGTTTTTTTGTTTTGTTTTGTTTTTGGTTTTTTTAAGAATTTCTATTCCATGCCCGGGACTTCAGCAGCCACCAAGAAAGACCGAGAGAAATACTTGTGCAAAAGCATGAAAACCAAAAGCAACTAGTTTCTGGTCATCTGTTCCCGTTGGGCAGTATATTTCCAATCTCTAGTCTGCACATAAAAAATGGAATGCTTATTCACCACCAACATCCATAACTGATACTAACTATCCCCAAACAAATGATAATTATCACTGGAGTCTGTTCCACACATTTGCCAGGTCCCCAAAAAGTTAGGTATGAATTCCTTTTTATTTGTATTGCAGATCTATTTTCAAGCACATGTATTTAAGTGATCACCTGGTTAATCACTGTGGGAAGATGGAGCTGTTCCCCTACTTCCTTAAGTCCGGATTTTAACATATGTGCTTAGTGTTATTAGCCCCAATCTGTTGGTGAGAGTGAAGAAAATTAAGATAGTATAACAGAAAAAATAAGTGAATTTTCAAAAGGCTACAATTTTTACAAAATCACTTAACAGATATCATCTTAAAGGAGGCTCAGAACAACTCCATGAGGAAGTCAGAGCACCTATTACTTCCATTTTCGAAATGATGAAATTGAGACTCGGGTTAAATGACCGCCTCCAGTCTCAAGAGTAGGAAAGACAGTTACTAGAAGAGCAGGGGAACCAGGTCATCCACTGACTCATCTTTCCCTTCATGTTCTTTTCCACAACCTTGCCAAGCACTGTCACTTGAATCAATGAATGAGTGAAGGAACAAGTGAACAAAAATAAAGATACCACAGGAATGTCAGTCCCACGATGACTAAAGAAAGAATATCAAAACTTCCTAAGATTTTCTGGGCAAGGAAAACACCTGCCTTATCTGTCTCAGGGGCTATCATGGGCATTGGATGAGATAAGGAATGTGAAATTTTCCTATAAATTGTAGAGCACTCTACAGATGATTTTTTATTAAATGTACAGAAGACTATTGCTTTCTTTTCCCATTGTTCCTTGCCCTCTGTTTCTGCAACATCTGGCACCACCCATGCCTACCAAACTGAAAAGAGGTACAAGGTCAACCCTGGGCAACCTTAGAGAGCTAAGACATAGATCCAAAAGGCAAGACTGCAGAATGCAACACACCAGGATTCACATGTATCAACCCCACATGACCACTAGGGGGACCCCCACCATCGTTCTTCAATTGACTCTTGGCCGAAACATAAGTCATCTACCCAATGGAAGCACTGCCAAAGACAGCTTCTCCTTCCCAAGAGTAAAACAGCGACACTTACCTTAACTTCCTCCACATCTTGCAGCCTCAGTGTGGAGAGCAGGAGGAGAGAACAGAGCCATGTGAGGACCAGCGACTGGAACTGGGCTACACAGAAGGAGATGAGGGTGTGGAGAAAAATAATGGCGGTGCCATGGGCCCCCAGCACACACCAGGAGGCCCATATTCCATAAGCCCCCAGGATCCAGGGTCTGTGCTGCAGACAGGGAGGGATCCAGGGAGAGAGAGAAAGACGGAGGGGGCAGGGAGGAAAAGAGAAAAGAGTGAGCTCATGGGTATTTGCTTAAGGTTCTACATATAAAAGCAGAATGCTTAGTGATCCATTAACCAAACTATTCTCACCGCCCTGGGGATTTAGTGCAACACAGACAAACAGCATTCAGAGGGACCTTCCCCATTAACCCCAGAACTCCATCAGATCCACCCAGAAGCAAGGAGCCACTTTTCTGCCTTCAGCCAAAGCCACCCAGACCACTGGATCCTCCCCCCCCCCAACAAGATATTTAGCTGACTTTTCAGCAGACCCTATGGAAGCCAGAAAACAGTTGGGAAAAACTACTAATCTGGAACAATGGCCCCTATATACACTACCCTGCAGAAGTGAAGGTAAAAGAAAGTATTGGTGCACATTTCTCAGGAGTCTCCTTGAGACAACTGGGCCATCCAAACCACAAACAGCTTTCTAAAGTCCAAACCAGAGATTTAAATGAAAATATCTCAGTACATTACTAGCATACTGTTTACCAACAGTCAAACGAATGTCACAGAAAAAGCGTATTTTACCTGCTTTATACAATATCGAGACCTTTGCATAATCAATCCAATGGACACATTCATTCCCATTTTAGGAGAATCATAATATTATTCTCTCCAATTATCAAGTTTTATAATTATTGACATTGAACAACTAAATAAATAAATAAACATATCTTTGCTTTTACAATATATTCTTGGTCGTATCTGGATGGTACATCTTTACTTAAAAACCACAATAATGTTTTAACATTGTTTGAGAGGCAACATATTATAGTGGTTTAATTTGAAGTCCAAGCTTTGAAGTCCAACTGCCTAAAATAAATGCTGGTGTCCCCATTAACTAGCTGTGTGGCCCCAGGCAAGTGACTTAAACCCTCCTTGCCTCAGTTTTTTCATATGTAAAATTAGGATAACAGTATCTATTTCATGCACTCCCTGTGAGGATTGTTAATGCACAGAAAATGCTTAAAACAGTATCAAGATAAAAAGCTTTTGCACAGCAAAAGAAACAGTCAACAAAACCAAAAGACAACCAACAGAATGGGAGAAAATATTCGCAAATGACATATCAGATAAAGGGCTAGTATCCAAAATCTATAAAGAACTTATCAAACTCAACACCCAAAGAACAAAGAATCCAATCCAAGAAATGGGCAGAAGACATGAACAGACATTTTTCCAAAGAAGACATCCAAATGGCCAACAGACACACGAAAAAGTGCTCAACATCGCTCGGCATCAGGGAAATCCAAATCAAAACCTCATGAGATAACACCTCACATCACTAAGAATGGCTAAAATTAACAAGTCAGGAAACAACAGATGTTGGCAGGGATGCGGAGAAAGGGGAACCCTCCTACACTGTTGGTGGGAATGCAAGCTGGTGCAACCACTCTGGAAAACAGTATGGAGGTTCCTCAAAAAGTTTAAAATAGAGCTGCCATACGATCCAGCAATTGCACTACTGGGTATTTACCCCAAAGATACAAATGTAGGGATCCGAAGGGGTACATGCACCTGATGTTTATAGCAGCAATGTCCACAATAGCCAAACTGTGGAGCGAGCCAAGATGCCCATCGACAGATGAATGGATAAAGAAGATGTGGTATATGTATACAATGGAATATTATGCAGCCATCAAAAGGAATGAAATCTTGCCATTTGCAATGACGTGGATGGAACTGGAGGGTATTATGCTGAGCGAAGTAAGTCAATCAGAGAAAGACATGTATCATATGACCTCACTGATATGAAGAATTTTTTTTTTTAAGATTTTATTTATTTATTTGAGAGAGAGAGAGAATGAGAGACAGAGAGCATGAGAGGGAGGAGGGTCAGAGGGAGAAGCAGACTCCCTGCCAAGCAGGGAGCCCAATGCGGGACTCGATTCCAGGATCATGACCTGAGCCGAAGGCAGTCGCTTAACCAACTGAGCCACCCAGGCACCCATATGAAGAATTCTTAATCTCAGGAAATAAACTGAGGGTTGCTGGAATGGTGGCGGGTGGGAGGGATGGGGTGGCTAGGTGATAGACATTGGGAGGGTATGTGCTATGGTGAGCACTGTGAATTGTGCAAGACTGTTGAATCACAGATCTGTACCTCTGAAACAAATAATGCAATATATGTTAAGAAAAAAAAAAAAAAGAAGAAGAAGGTAGCGGGAGGGGAAGAATGAAGGGGGGGAAATCGGAGGGGGAGATGAACCATGAGAGACGATAGACTCTGAAAAACAAACTGAGGGTTCTAGAGGGGAAGGGGGTGGGAGGATGGGTTAGCCTGGTGATGGGTATTGGGGAGGGCACGTTCTGCATGGAGCACTGGGTGTTATGTACAAACAATGAATCATGGAACACTACATCAAAAACGATGTAATGTATGATGATTAACATAACAAAAAATTAAAAAAAAAACAGTATCTGCATACATAGTAAGGACACTACAAATACTAGTTATTATTCCTATAGGGGAATACGATGAATCTTTTTGGTGTGCACTTAAAAATATGGTTTCCAGGGGCGCCTGGGTGGCTCAGTGGTTAAGCATCTGCCTTTGGCTCAGGTCATGATCCCAGGGTCCTGGGATCGAGTCCTGCATCGGGCTCCCTGCACAGCAGGGAGCCCGCTTCTCCTTCTCCCTCTGTCTACCACTCTGCCTACTTGTGCTCTCTGTCAAATAAATAAATAAAATCTTAAAAAAAAATTAAAAGAATGCAAACTAATTTAAAAATATATATATATATGGTTTCCAGGAATACACCAAGTTGAAAAGTGGGGAATGCTTGAATTTAGGTCTTCTTGTGAAAATAAGAATTCTTTAAGACAAAGACAGATGTGGACCATGAACTGTAAATCCCCTTTAGATGCTGACTCTTCCAAAATATTGTCGAAGTACAATTCTTTCCCAAACCTACACTCCAGCCCAAGAGAGGGCATTTTAAATGAGGGACTAGGTCAGCCTCTTTTAAGTTCCAAGAAAATCAGAGAGATCTGCAGTTCAGTTTTACTATTTTTCCATCCTACTGCCCACAGAAAACAGTCAAATAAATTTGCTTCAAATTTTCCCCCAAACACTCACCTCTGGTCAGAGTCCAATTATAAGAAACAAGGTTGCCAAAAACCATTTTAAGAACTGGTTTTAACAAATGGAAAAAAAAAAAAAAAGGGTTTTCCAACACAATCTACAGGATTTACTACTGGGGATCCTTTCCATGGGCTACACACATACCAGCCACATTTTTATTAAGCATGATTTGATCCGTGTGGAAGAAGCCTATTTGTTCGGCTTTCGTTGGGGAACTTAACCACAGACTAAGGAGCTTCAATTTGGAAAAAGCTGAACACAATTCTCTGATGAATTTAACTGTGCTCATCAAAGCTACCGTCCAGGCTCACAACTCTGCCCCAAATTCTCATTCCCCACGGTCTTCCTCCTGCCCAACAGGACAGACAGACAAACATGTAGTACTACTGTTCTAAGACAGCACAGAAAACACTCTAATGTCACCTTCACGTTCTCCACTATCCCACACATCACCCAGTCCTTCTCCCCAGGGGCGAGAGGCAGCTCTACCACACAATTCCATGGCAGACAGGTGATATAAAGGAAAAGATGTAAAATAGGCAAAAATAATCATCTATTTAAAAGAACTGTTCTGGGGCGCCTGGGTGGCTCAGTCATTAAGCGTCTGCCTTCGGCTCAGGTCATGGTCCCCGGGTCCTGGGATTGAGCCCCGCATCGGGCTCCCTGCTCCGCAGGAAGCCTGCTTCTCCCTCTCCCACTCCCCCTGCTTGTGTTCCCTCTCTCACTGTCTCTCTCTCTCAAATAAATAAAATATAAAAAAAAACCTGTTATATAAATTAGAACCCCACTAAACTCCTGACAGCAAGATCAGCCATCCGTGCCTTGTCTTCTGACTGGTATCAGAGAAGGATAGTCCCTACTATCGATACAGCCTTAGGACACAGCTCCTCCAGCCCCTATCCCTCCACACGCATCTGGAACTGGCAGAATAAGCTGGAAATGGAAGAGCAAAACTGCCCACCAGGAAGCAGCATCATGGATGGTCTGCTTCTCTGAGGAGGAGGAGGGCTCTTCCCAAGTGTTTCAAAGACCATTTTCATATGCAAAGGCCTAACACAGCCCTGTTCCACCTATTTCTACTCCAAAAGTGCTTACATATTTTTCAAACTTTTGCCTACCTCTTAAGTGAAAATGCTTAAGAATCAGGTATTAAGCCTCTGACATCAAATATGCCAGGAACTATTTAACTTTCCAAAAATAAAATGTGTTATAGGGCACCTGGGTGGCTCAGTTGGTTGAGCATCTGACTCTTGGTTTCGGCTCAGGTCGTGATCTCACAGTTTTGGGATCGAGCCCCGCATTAGGCTCTGTGCTCGGTGTGGAATCTGCTTCAGATTCTCTCTCTCCCTCTCCCTCCCACTCACTCCCTCTCTCAAATAAGTACATAAAATCTTTTAAAAAGTAAATAAAATAAAATGTGTTATGTTTTATTCCAAAACAATACCTCTGATTCCTCACTAGAAGGACTCTCCCCACCCCCCGAGTTCTCAGGGCAATCTGGGCAGATACACAGTTTTGATCACACACATAATCCATGTCAAGCTCAAGTTTTAAAAATTCGTTTAAATGAAGTGATGATTAGGACTGGGAATTATTGGTCATTTGAAAAGAAGGCACAAAGAATCATGTTGATTGAGTGCACAAATACAACATGAGCTCAATTTAATGCTAGGCGGTGCTGTTCTAATTTAGAAATTCAAATTCTAATTTGATAAGTGTTTTTGAGATTTTTGAGATAGTTGTAGATACACCTGCAGTTATAAGAAATAACATACAGGGATCCCCATGCACACTTTACCCAGTTTCTTCCTATGGCAACATTATACAAAACCACAGCATATCACAACCAGGATATT